CGGTGAGGGGCGGTGGGGCTGAAGGGTCCCTCCCCATTCCCGCCTGAGCGCCTCGAACCTCGCGAGCAGGAAGAGTTTGTGGGAGCGCGAAGCTGAGCACGGCGTTAGTCGGGAAACTCCAACGCATTCCGGCCGCTGGTGCGATCTCCGGGGAGTTGGTTGAAGTGAAAGGCCGATATAAAACCCAAACGGCTGCCTTAGAGTGCTTTTCCCGTGACCCCGGTGGGCTGACAAAGGGTCAGTGAGCTCACGGCCTTTGAGACGTCAGCGATGTGCTCGGTGATTGGGTTTTTATACCGTGTAGAGCAGATACAGTTTAATTTGGACATTTGTACGTTAATACCAGTTATGTGAAACAGTCAGTGTAAAATAAGGGGGTATATTTATCAAGGGGAAAAAAAACCCCATCCTTAATATGAACAAGATAAACCTGAGCATTATTTCACAGCTGATTAGTATCAGGCCAAGGGGAATGGCTTTGACCTGCCAGAGGGGAGATTGAGATGAGCTTTTGGGCAGAAGCTCTTCCCTCTGAGGGTGCTGAGGCACTGGCACAAGGTGCCCAGAGAAGCTGTGGCTGCCCCATCCCTGGCAGTGTTCAAGGCCAGGTTGGACACAGGGGCTTGAAGCAACCTGCTCCAGTGGAAGGTGTCCCTGTCTGTGGCAGGGGGTTGGAACTGGATGATCTTTAAGGTCCCAAACCAGTCCATGATTTAAGGCCAGACTTCTTAGAAAATACAGTAATTTTCTAAAGGAAATAAAAAATGCTCAGTTTTAGAAACTCCTGTCTTTATTTCAAAATTGGAAAACTTTTTGGTAATCTTCATTTGGTAAACTTCATTACAAAGCTTCAAGAATTTGGGGAAGCAAATGTGTAATACTTAATAGCATGGTATTCTTTTGTCTTTCAGAAGTACAAATATAATGTCAGGTGGCTGAAAATTTGCCTACCAAAATGTCAAGTAAGTCTTCAGATTTTTCTTTCTTTAACTTGATGAATTAAACATCTAGTTCACAAAACCTGTTTGTGAGAGAACCTTATTATTCCTTGCATTAAAGGGAATGAGATGAAGTGAAGTTATTCCTGACCAAACTCTGGGCCTTAAATCTTGCTGTGGCTGATTTTCTGGCATGTTGTTTGAACAGGAAATGTCACCCTTTCTTCTAAATCCCCTTTTACTGCGTTTTTGCTTACCCTCTTTTAAATGTGTGTGCTTATAAATGGATTTCAGTCTTTTGCCTAGATAAAAGGTTGAGAGTGACAGCGATGCTGTGGTCTTAACTTTTTTTCTTCTTTTCTTTTTCTTTTGCTCTTTGCTTTATGCTCTTCAGTGGCAAAATGCAAAGTCTTTGAAAGCGGGGTTTCTGTCTCGGTTTTGTAAATTGCTTAAAAATGCTTGCCACAGCAGATGCCTTATTAAAAAAATCATTCAGATTTTCAAGGGGAAAAAAATATGTGCTTACATTTGTATCTTAACAGAAAGGCCATCTTATGCCCCACCTCCTACCCCAGCTCCTGCAACCGTAAGTATGATGATTTTTCTCATTAACACAGAGCTGGTAACTTAGTCTTTAATAACTTACCAGACCAATAATTATGGAGTTGCATCACCTTCCTGTATTGGAAACACAGGCTAGTCGTAGTTCATTATTAATGATATGCATTATTTAAATTAATCTCATTTCTTCAGCAGTTTGGCAAAGAGAAGCGGAATAAGTTTGCTTCACCTTTAAGGCTATATCCTGCAGATACTGAATTTTCTGTAAGCAGTCAGTTGGTCTTAAATTATTCCCAGTGGGTTACACCAGTTCACTGGAATAGTTAAGAACAAACTCATATGTTTAATTCTAGAACTTTCCACTCAACCTGTGACCAGATCATGGGCAAACAGAGCATTTTCTAGCTGATTTTCAGAACTGTGCCCGTGTTTGTCCATGTTTAAAAAGGTACTGAAGTACCAGTACTCAGTGGTAAGGAAAGACTTTGAAAGCAAAACACACCTCTCCTGTAGCAGTCACATTTCTACACAGGTTGCCTTTAGAAGTAACGGACACTCATGAGAAAATACAAGTCTTTTGTACAGAAGAATGAATAAGGGTGCTATAGTGATTTTTTTATTTATTTATTTATTACCAAAGAAGATTGGGAAGCTGTTATCCAATACTGCTTCTGATCTCTGCATCTGGGATGAAAAGCACAGGATGGCATTTAGATGAAATGTGATCCTTCAAATTTATCATGCCATACTTCACATTCAGAGAGGCTTGAAAAGTACAGAATGTATAAGTTATGTTCTTTATAAGCTTCCATAAATAAAACTTTATTTGTGTAGTCTGTTCAGAGTTTTCATTTTGCATGCAATGGAATAGATCTGTCAGAAGGAACATGATGGCATCTACTTTTACAACTGGATTCCTGCATCGAGAGCTGTGCACATCCATTGTGATTCTTTGGGATGTAGGACAGATACAGCTGTTGTTAAATGGTTTCTATTGATGTGGTACATTCTCTAGTCGCATTAGGAATCTTTAAAAGGGTATATGAAACCCTATCTTGCAAGTGTTTTCTGTATCACTTGTTTTATGCAGGCCTTCAGTTGATATAGTCTGTGCTCTGCTAATGCAAGTCCAAAGAGTAGACAAATAACCCTGCTGCTGCTTCCACAGTCAGTTCCAGTTGCTACAGTCAACAAAGCACTAGTAGTTAACTGCAGTATTATAGCTGAAGTTCTCCATGTAATGCAAGGTAGTTCCATTGTAACATCTAAATCCTGTCTTGCAGAAATAAAGAATTAAGCAGATGGAGATTACAGTTGTCATCTGGGTTTATTGAAGAGGTGTAGTTCAAAACCTGTTGTTATGGTAATACAAAAAACTGTAGTAAAATGGTGTCTTATTAAATAGCGACTGTGTATGTTGTGATCACAGGCACATGGACTGAGTAAATGTCAGCTGCTGTGGCTGAGATTAAAAAGCTGGCAATAAATATATATATAATAAATAAACAGCTGTTAAAGGATACTCTTGCTCTGTATTTATATGTTTAGAAGTAAACTAACTACAGTGTGTCTACATGCACTTGAAAACTTCACAAGTTAATGTAGTTTAGCCTATAGGTTCTCCTTGTTCTGTGTTTGTTTGTCATACCCTGGTTCTTGGAGTCTTGAACTGATATGTGCAAGGTTTGTAGCTGTGCTCTACAATGGGTCCAGTCAGCAAATCACTTCAAAACACAACTGCAATATGTGCTGCTTATTAGGGCCAAAGTGCTACTAAAAAGTGGCATAAGGTGTGGATGAAACACTACTGGATATCCTGATAGAATGATAGGTTTGCCACAGGACTTCACAATTGCTGTTAAATAGTAGATCCATTGGGTTTTTTAAACAACAGAATTTGGGAAGCAGGAGATAATGAAAAAGGCAGGAGAGAAATTTATGTGAGGAGAGAATACAGCGAACCCTCTGATAATTGATTGTAGGTCAATGATGGGTAAGAAGGAATTGTAAAGACATTAAAATTTGCCTCCGTGTTACTGAGGTGAGAATGAATGGATCCACTTTCAGGAATGAACAGAAATATATTAAATGTCTTCAATTGTCTTGGATTCAGTTATTTGTTAAGACTTGTTTGTAGCCTCTAACCTGTAGATCTTATTGCAGTGGTTCCTCACCTCTCTCACCCTGCAGCCTACCCCAGAACAGAGGGGGTTGTCTCTGAATTGTCATCTCTCTCAGCTTGCAAATCTCAGTTCCCCAAAGTGCATCTGTGAACCACCAGGAAAATTCAGATACTGGTAGTGGTGCACAGATTTATTACACACACACACACCCCTGTTTATTGACAGTATAATGTTTGTTTGAAAGGCAGAATGATGGGAAGAAAAGCAGATAGGGATTGTCATTGGTACCTTAAATGTTGATTCTGGGGATTTCTGCCTGATTACTGTGTGCTGTGTTGCTGTGTGAGCTTAACCCTTTGGATCCAAGAGTCTTTCTGAATTACTTGGTGGCTTATGTTGGAAAGTCTTACTAGCCATGAGCTGGATTTATAGAATGTTTCTTTAAAAGGGTCACACTTAACAGAAATAAAATCACCAACTTTAGACAGAAACTTGTAGTGACACATTTGTTTAAAAATCTTGTTTCCTTAATAGGTTTATACTGGAGTAAGTTTTGTGTGTTGAGAAGATACCAACTGCTACACCTCATTTGCTTGTTTAAATTCTGGTTGCTTTTGCATGCCATATTGCAGTTCATTTTCATTTCTGTGTTTTCCTCGTTTGAGCTCATTTCTCATTCGTGTTTTTGTCTCATTTGTTTCCATCAGCAAATGCCCAGCACACCAGGGTTTGTGGGATACAATCCATACAGCCATCTGGCCTACAACAACTACAGGCTGGGAGGGAACCCGGGCACCAACAGCCGGGTCACGGTAGGAGAATCAACTATTACGTCATCCAGCAAACAACAGGAATTGACCAGGAATGGCTCTAGGGTTAGGTCCTTCTGAGGCTTGGCTGCTGCCACTTCTTTATAAAACAAAAAAATTACCTCTGACTTATTTCTCCCCCCCACCCCTTAACCCCCTTCCCTCTCACTCTGAAACCTTTTGCAGGAAAACTGTCTTCTACTCAGCAGAAAAAACAATGTGGTAATCATGCATGATGCAGAATTCCAGATAAACAGACTTTGTGGTCTTTGGTGACCACTGCATGCTCAGGGAAGAGTTCTGTAGCCTGGGTAGAAATTCTTGGAGGGAGGGAACTGCTCATTGAGGTTTACTTAAAGACAAGAACATTTTGCAAACTGGAGATCATTGGTAGTAGTTGCATCATACTGTTGAGCCATGCAAGAGATGCAAGCCGTTGTTTTTCTTCCCACTCTTAGTCTGGTAATAACTGCGACGTCCCAGATTCAGAAATTACTTTTTTCAACAGAAGTATGATGATAATAGAATCCTTTCAGATCTCATGTACTCTGTCAGGGTGTGGAAAATGGATGTTACATTCATTTTTCATAGAGTAAACCAAGTGAGGTGAAATTGAGTGATGAGAGAGGTGACGGCTTCTTTCAAATACAGGTCAAGTCCTGAGCATTGGATGCAGTTAGGAAACAAAAATAGACTGTGGAAGTGTAACATTTTCTTAACTAACACAACAGAAATAAGAGTAAATCCCTGATTTTTGTAAAGTTCCTGTAATTCTCATAACTTCAAGGTTTTTCATGTAAAACTTTCTACCTCAAAAGATCTGATTAGTTTGGAACATGATAAAAAGATTTCTCAAGGAGCAAATAGATGGTGTGTTAAATGAAGTGTACACCTTTTATGCCTCTTATATAAACCTTCTTTCAAACTTCGTTTATGAAGTTCATCTGGTTTGTTAAAACACTTACAGAAAAGACCTTCAAGCTGGAACTTGACTCACGCACTGTCTGAACAGAGATGTTTTTCCTTATACAAGAATAAATCAGGTTTTGTCTGAGAACTTCCATTGTTTCTGTATGTCATAAGCATATACAGCCTTCTCTGCCATGCATATATTAGTATATGTATGGTGTCTTTAAGTTCCTGTTACTTTAAAAGCATTAAACAGTTTCTGTTGATGTTTTCCAACCCATCTGTATGTGTATCTGTGTATACATTTGGTAATGCACATACTTCATGCACATTATTTATACATGATCCTGTATGCATTGTTTCATAGAGCTCCATAAATTCAGCAAAAAAAAAAAAACCATACCAAGAGTTAAAATTGGGAAGCTGAATACCAAGCATGGGCCTTCTTGGCCAGATACATTTGCTTCTCTATGGCTGTAGTCCTGAAAAATCTTGGAACTGCTTTACATTTTTATGAGAATGCTCCCACGCTGTATAATAAAAGTCCTGGCATGTGGAAGTGCTCGAGGAGTGGAGGTTTCCAGAGCCTGCAGCTGACAGGGACTGTCATGTTGCTGCAGTATTTTAGGACAAAGCCCTATCAGGTGTTTTGTAGGTTGAGGGGCCAAGAGAGGATGCAGCAACTTCCTATCCACAGCAGTTAGTGGTCAGTGTCCTTTTGTTTAGTGTGAGCAATGTGCTTGTCACTGTGCAAAGCTAAAGGGAGATAAGGGCACAGAAGGATATTACAGGCTAATTTGGACCATTAAGTACAGCTCAGATACAAATAATGTGCATGTTGACAGCTCAGTTGGATGGGGTTTAGTTGGCTCCAAATTACCACTGACGAATTTTGCAGACAAATATATGCTAAAATGGTTTGAACATGAAAATACATCTCTAACTTCCTGATCTTAAACTCCTTATCTTTTTTCCACCTGTACAGTAGCCAAATTAAATTTGTCAAAACTGGTAGAACAAATTGCTCATCAGGAGTGAGAAAAAAAACCTGTTGGGATTGGTGTTTCCATTTAAATTTCTGAGCTGCTTATTTCAGTTTTAAGAATATGGAGCCCTTTTGAAGGTTTTTCTAGCTACTGCTCTGTGAGTTTACAGCTAAAAGGACAGACTTACATTGGGAAAACATGACTGTGAGGACCAGCTCTAGTTAGTACCTGTTCCCAGCTTGGGTGATATTTTTTGGTGATGTTACTTGCTTCTCTTGGTGGGGGTGTGTGTGGTTGGTTTGGGTTAACTGCACAAGAATGAGTGTTTTCCGAAACATATGTGTAGACTTCGTCCAGTGATCGTGTTAATGAATGGATTTATTCGGTTCTTTTATAGGCTTCCTCTGGTATTACCATTCCAAAGCCCCCCAAACCCCCAGACAAGCCCCTGATGCCCTACATGAGGTACAGCCGGAAGGTGGGTATACAGTGTCAACCAAGTTAAAATAAAGTTAGTGTTTGTATGTGCTAACAATTAATTGCTGTTGTCTTAGTTTCAGCTTCTAAACTTTTACTTCTAACAGCCTGCACATTCTTTTAAGGGAATTTTAAAGTACAGATGCATTGCCCTTCACAGTGAAGGCAGCAGTAGTCTGTTCACGCAGTTGCCAGTTTCTGGGGGGAAAAGTTTTCTCTAAAATGCTAAGTACTACCACTGTCTCCTGACAAGGATCCGCCCTGCCACATGCAGAAGTTCCTGTGACTTACTGACAGAACTTTTTTTATATAAAGGAAGTATTTCTTGCGGTATACTGGGCTTGGTACAGTGCTGTAGCTGGACTGAAGAGTAGCAATGAGTGGACTTTGCATGTTCTCCTTCACCAACCTAGCCTGTGGCACCGTTTACTTCGCTATTCTGTGAACTGCTTGACAGAAAGTAGGAGAGGCTCTTGTGGAGTCTGAAATCTGATGGGGCATGGGGAGGGCATGTCAGCCTGGCTGAAGCGGGTGAGCCAGAAGGAATTTCTTCCACTTCTGGTAAAATATCTTTACCAGCATGTCTGTCTTAGGCAAAAAACCATCAACAAAAAAAATGTCAAGTGGCACAGCAAGAAATAACACTGGCAGCTCTCCTTTTTGGTTTTTTTTTTTCCCTATAAAGTTAGAAACTTTCTTGGTGGAGTCAGAACTTGTTGGAACTCAAATTGATCAGCAAGACTGCAAAATATTTTGCAATGTTACATTCTGATGTGAAAAGCTCAGTGCTCTTTATCATAACCCACTGCTGGATGTGTTTACTCAGTAGCCTTTTTTTTTTCCCCGAGATGCAGCGATGTACATATGAGAAGAGAATTAAGAGGGTTAAAGGCAATATTCTCATGAAACCAAAGCCATTTCAGCAATTGCCTGTTTCAGTAGATGGCTTCCTACTGACCTCCTGCCCCAGAAAATAATCGAGATAGTTTAGCCAGACTCATTCCTAACTTAATCCTGTTTTTCATGGTGATTCCAGAAAGAACACTGAGATGACAATATAAAATGTGTAATTTGGAAGTATTTAGATATCATTAGTAAAGCTCCAGCTGTTTCTGTTAAGGTCTGGGACCAAGTGAAGGCGTCCAATCCTGATTTGAAGTTATGGGAAATTGGCAAGATTATTGGAGGAATGTGGCGAGATCTCACTGATGAAGAGAAGCAAGAGTATTTGAATGAATATGAAGCTGAAAAGGTAAATGGAAGAAATCTGGGATGTTTATTACAGCTGATTCTTCTAGGAACTGGTCTGAGAAGAAAAATTCATCTTCCCCATGCAGTGGTGTATGAGGCATTCAGGAGACCCCTGTATGTAACTTAAATGGAAGTTATGTCCTGAAACATCTTTTAGATTTTTTTTAAATAACTGTACATCAACTGTGACTGGTCAGTTTTTAGACCTAATTCAAAATGAAGTATTGATAATTGAGAGTCAATTTTAACTGTTAATGAATGGATTTGCTTGTACAACATCAGTATTGAAAAGATTGTCTCAACACCAAAATCCTCTTTCAAAACTGGTGCTCTGCAACTACTGCTATTGTCATGAACGTGTTCATAAAAGACTTCCAGTCACGTAGGGTTTGGTGTTCATGGTGTAATCTGGTGTTACTCCACGCTATGACATAGTGTTTTGTTTCTTAAAATGCTACCACTTTAAGGGTTTTTCTTGTGATTTTGTTTTGGTTTTATTGATCCTGATGACGAGAGATGACGGCTGCCTGTGTGTCTAGGTTGGTAAGTGTTGAGGACCTTGGCAAGACTGGTATTGTGATCCTGAGGTAACAAAGGGAATTGTCCAGCTGTCATGTTGTGCTTAAACCTGGTAGGCATCTGAGGCTGTGTGTAACCCGGTCAAATCTAAGCTGTTTTTATTCCAGGTCAATAGAGAAGTGCTTCAAAGCTGGATGCTCTTAGTTGAAGCAAACAAATAATCAAGGGATTCTATTTTTTAACTTGGTCATGATGTTTAGATTGTAAGCTCCTTGGGGCAGGGGCCATCCTGGTCTTATTTTTCCAGTGCCTAGATAGAAGGATTCCAGTCCTAACGTAAAGAAAACAAGATGCTTAGGTACCTTTAACAATATGTAGATTATATCTTATTTTTCACTGTACAAAATCTAGACTTGGCAGATTTTTAAAGTGAGATTAAAGAAAGCAAATCAAAGGGCAAAAATACTTCAAAGAAGGTGAAAATAGTGGTGCAGACATGCTACCAGGAGGAGACTGTAGTCTGGCTGCAGCATTCTGTATCATCCCAGGGCAGGGATGGATCAAAGAACGGAAAAATCTTAAGTTATTTTGAAAACTGGTTCATGACATACTGCAATAAGGAAAGAGAAGAAATCATAATCAAAGATCTAGTTAGAACTCCAGAGATCTATTGTTATGTTCACTAATTGTTTTTATCCTATCAGAGTTCATCTGATCATAAATGCCTTGTTCTGAGGCAGTTGGTTTTTAAATCTCAAAACAAAGCTGCTGTTTAAGACTTCTCAGGTGTTAGAGCTGAAATGTACCTAGAAGCCCAGCTAGTGTTTCTAAAATATGAATGACTATGGAAGAAGATCCAGTTGGTAAAATGACTGAGAATATAGTCATTTGTGTATCACTGGATGATTCAGAATAGCTTTGTCTGTACAACTACAGCATGAGTTGTACAGGCTGCAGTTGGGTCGAGGCTGAAATCGTCCCCTTGTGCAATCAAACGCTATTGGTCACGTTTCAGATAGAGTACAATGAGTCCATGAAGGCCTACCACAACTCTCCTGCATACCTGGCCTACATCAACGCCAAGAGCCGTGCAGAGGCTGCGCTGGAAGAGGAGAGCCGCCAGAGGCAGTCGCGCATGGAGAAAGGGGAGCCCTACATGAGCATCCAGCCTGCAGAGGATCCTGATGGTAAGCACAAAGGGGTTTGTGTGCACGTCCACCAAGACAGTCCTGTTCCAGGACCAGCAGTAGAGAGAAACAGAACACAGAAAACGAACAGTGTACAACTTGCGGTGCTTAACATGACTTCCTTCCTATTTTAGTACCCTTAATAGTGATTTTCATTATCAAGTTTTACTTTATACAGCTAACAATTGACTTGTTTCCAAGGTGTCAAAAGTTATTTAAACCCTTAATTACGTATGAAGTAATGCCTACAGTTCAAAACAAATGAGTCTGCGTAAAGCCCTGTAATGGCTTTAATATATGCATTATAAAAGGCTTAGATGCCTGATTTAATCCAGATCAAATGGAATTGTGTGCATTATTACCAGAAGCACATAATTCTGACGGGCAGAGCTCTGGTGTGATTAAGAGCACCTGAACCTTTAATCTGTTCAACAACTGTCAGTTGAGATTGAGGACATCAGTTACCTTTGCTGCTGGCAAGCTGATGAGAAGGTTCTCAAAGTTTATTTGAGTGCGAGGAAAGGCCTCACTCGGTGGGAACACTCAGCCCCAGCCACCCTATGTCTGCTCTGTAGCTCACAGCCCAGTGCTTGTTGAAACCTGAGGGAGAAACATGTAATCAGTTACACCCTTTTTTTTTTCCTTCCCCTTTGTAAAAGCACACCTTGGAAATAAAGCATGTGACAAGCAGCATTTTACCCAGTGTGAGGTAACTGCAGCATTCACGTGAATACATTTAGCATTCCAGTAGCTAGCATTTGGGACTTCAGGTTTTTGGGCCAAAGGAGCTCGGCTGGATCCAACTGCACAAGACATCAAGTTGCATCTGTTCCCATCTGTAACCAAACAAGTTAATTCTGTGACAGAAATGTTGCTTCTGTCCCATCCTGCCCATCACTGGGGTCAAGAACTCTGAGCATAGAAGGGATCTTACTAAGAGGACAAAGGCACAACTTTAAGACCAATTTGCTCAATACTTCATCTCTTGCACATCTATTGCCTTCCCACTGTTTTCCTCTTTTTTGCTTTATTTGATTGGGTACCTCAATGAAAAATTGAACATAACACTTTGAAATAAAGGAGATGGAAACTTTCCTTGAAGTAGTTACTTTCTTTGGTAACATTTTCTTGCATGATAGTTAGGATTCTTCTTATGATCTCTCTGAATAGTTGCAGAGTAATCTCGATTAGGAAAACTTGATGTAAAATAGATTTGACTTCTGGACTCTTCTACGTGACATCGCTCTGGAAGATAATTCATACTTGGTGCTTAACTGATTCTAATACTCAACTAAATTTGAGTTACGCTCACATAAGTTTCTTCTGTTTCATTATCAATATTAGATTCTATTTAATTACTATGATTTAAATTCTAATCAGTTTGATTTTAATATTCCATAATGCCATAGTTCATGTTAAATTCTGACTAGATTAAAATTGCCAGAGTCCTACATCTTGCCAGAAATTAGAAGCTCTTTTAATTGGATCAGAGAGAAGAAAACTAAATCCTTGACCTGAAATATTCTTAGTTCTTTGTGGTTAATCCTGTACAGGATTGTCAAACAAGACAGTTTAGTTCCTGTTGGGCTGCCTTTAGTTCCTTTTCTGCATGAGAAGCTTATGAGGAGACCAGCACTTTGACCCATGTGCTCATGTATTTTCTCTCCCAAAGTGTTTTGGGTTTTTTTCTCTAACTGTTCTTCAGTGAACTGCATTTACTAAAAAAATAAATCATTGAATGCTCTTAACACAGTACTCTGGATTTTCAGTGATGAGTAAGCATGTATCACTGCTTGAGGCTTTCATTCCTCGAGTGTTTCAAAATAAGTCTTTCTGATCTGTGCTACAAAGCTTATTTAGAGAGGAGTCGCTCTCCTGTTGGTATTTTGTACTTGATACTGTTCTGGTAACATGATTGATCAGGAACGCGTGGGTTTGGGTTTATTTGGTGCATTAACAGTCCTTCTTGCTCTGGAAATGCAGAAAGCAGCACAGTAACACAGTAACAGCTGAATCCAAATTTCAGGCTTGTGGGAAATTCATGTCAAATCCCAGCTGTTAGTGCTGTGCCAGGTAAATGGTTTGTTCTCATAGGGTGGTTTTTCTGATGACCTGGTGTTCTATATGTGTTAGTATGAACTTTGTGACACAACAGCAACTGGTGTTAGGGTTTGCATCTTGTTTTTAAGAAGTGGTAATGTGTCACTAGACTTGGTAGCGATTTTGTGGCATTAAAGCAGTTGCACTTAACGCTCTTGTTTCAGACTATGACGATGGGTTTTCTATGAAGCACACGGCCACAGCTCGTTTCCAGAGGAACCATCGTCTCATCAGTGAGATCCTGAGCGAAAGCGTGGTTCCCGATGTCCGCTCTGTGGTCACCACAGCTAGAATGCAAGTTCTGAAACGCCAGGTTCAGTCATTAATGGTTCATCAGGTAAGGACAAATTATATGAAGTGTTGGTGAAGATAGTGGTGTTGGGCTGTACTCCAAGTCTCGGATCGTTTGATCATCTGCATGACTCTTCTTGTTGGGTGTCAGTGTTCTCTATGCTCCAGTAGCTCATCTGTCTTGGGAGGTGCAAGACATGAAGCGTCACCTCCCAGGCTGTTTTGTTATTGAGAATCATGTTAAGCTCTAGTGTAGTTTTTAGGGTATCTTAAGTGTCAATTCCACAGCTCTTCAGTATTGCACATACCCCTTTTGTATGTACTGGAGTCTCCTATTTAATGGGTACTAGTAGGGTTGTGACTTTGGGGTAGCTTATGACTCATCATCTTGTTTGTAATGATTCTTTATTCCAGTAAATGGTCCCTATTGTGCATTGTTAAACGCATACAAGGCAATCTAGTGAGGTGGCACTTGTATGTTTCACTTTGCTTTGACTGGGCATGTGCTTCTTCTCCAAACACGTACATTACCAGAAGAACCCTCTGTTGGTGTAGTCAATGTAGTTGTAGGTGAAGACAACTGAGACATCAGAAGTTGGGAAACAAAAGCAGATTTGGAGGGGGGTGGTATCCCTTCTTTCCTTTGAATTGTGATCTTTCTGCATTAGAGAATGTAATTTATGTGTTCAGTGTTTATATACGTGTATATATGAAATGGGGTGTATAATATGAAAGAAAACATATAGGTTTTATGCTGGAAGATTCATCTAGATACATACATAGTGTTTTCCACTTACAAGACACCTTGCCAATCCCAAGTGACTGCAGAGACACATTTATTGTTCATACTTTTCGACAGCATAAGGTTGAAAAAATACACATAGGTGTATTTTTAAATACTGGTGTATATGTTTCTGTAGGTAGCTGTAAACAGTGTCCAGCCCCTCAGGTGACAGCATAGTAAAGTTCTCACCATTTATCTCGTTTGCAGCGTAAACTGGAAGCTGTAGAGCGTCACCAGGAAAAGAAGAGGAAGTTTCTGGAAAGCACAGAATCCTTTAACAACGAGCTCAAAAGGGTACAACTCCTGCTTTTCTCCACTTGGAGGAATTGCTAGTTACCCATTTGTACAAGTGCTCTCCCCACAGTTCTGTATTCAGTGTTGTGTAATTACACAGCTGAAGACTGCACTGTCCTGGTGTGTGCGTGCTGGAAGGCACACAGAGCTTGTGCTGTTTCATGCTCCATCAGCGACCTTTAGTGGTGACATTCAGCCAATACAGCTTGGAAGTGCCCTCAGGCATCACAGCTTGAGCTCATGGGAGAGCAGCTCCAGCTCAAGGAAGGTTGCCTAAAGCCACTGCTCTGTCTTTGGCTGCATTCAAAGAACAAGCTTTAGGTGGTTTATTCCCCCCCTTTTTTTTAACATGCTTGATGTGTCTCCCTCTCTAGTAACTGAATCTTACAAACTTTGTCAAATCAAAAGAATCTTGATCAAAGGGAATACTGAGCTTGTAATTGAGTTTTACTGATGTTTTGTTTTTCAGTGTAACTGAGGTAGTAAAAGAGCTTTCCTGGTTTGTCTCTCTTTCATTGCCAGTTATGCAGTTTGAAGGTGGAAGTGGATATGGAAAAAATTGCTGCTGAAATTGCTCAGGCAGAGGAACAGGCTCGCAAGAGGCAGGAGGAAAGGGAAAAAGAAGCAGCTGAGCAGGCAGAACACAGCCAAAACAACATCGCAGCTGAGGAAGAACAGGTGGCTAGCAAGGCAGAGGAGAAGAAAGAAGAGGAAAGTGCTCCAATGGAGACAGGTAAAGGCACAAAGAGGCCCAGCATGGCCAGGAGTGTGCTCCCTCTGCTTTTGCTGTTATTAGGAAGAAAGGCTTCAGCACAACAGCAGTCAGAATAGAGAACTTGATCTCTGTGACATGTCTGCTTTCTTCTCCTTAAATTTCTCCTTTTTAAACAGGAGAGAGTAAGATACCACCAACACCCTGTTTAATGCTTTGAGTTACGTACACAAGAGCTAAAAATGCTTTCTAAGCCTGTCTCTTCTCTTAAGATACGGGTTAGCCAGGAGCAACTGAGAGTTTCCTTCTTCTGGTGTCAGCATTAGGAGGACACGACAGCACTTATCCCCTGCTGTTCTCACGAGCTGGTTTGCAGGTTTTGTGTGTTCTGTACAGTGACATTAGAAAATGTTACTGGATTGGAGCGTGTCAGTGGTCAGTAAAGCAGTGAGTTGTTGCTTTACCAGCGTGAGTGTAAGGAAAAAGGCACCAGGGAGCTGGAATTGTGCTTCTGGTGTAACAAGGCTTTCTTACAGCTGACTTCTGGGGTCGGGCAGTTGCAGGTGACTCTGAGGACACCATGTGGCAGGACCATAGACATCCTTCAGAGCTATGACAGCTGCTGCATGTTCTAAGTGACAGAATTAACTGCTGTGGAGTACTTGGATTTGTTACACAGTTCTTCATAAATTCTACTTGCACGTGAATTGTATTGGCATGTGAATGACACTGAGAAATATCTTGTTACAGAAGAGCCTCACCCAGAAGAGGGCACAGAAACCCAGCAGAATGGAGAAGAAGGAACATCCACCCCGGATGACAAGGAGAGTGGCCAAGAAGGGGGCGACAGCACCGCAGAGGAGGGAACCAGTGACAGCAACACTGGTTCTGAGAGCAACAGCGCGACAGTGGAGGAGCCTCCTGCAGACCCCAGCGCCGAGGACAGTGAGAAGAAGGAATAAATGTTGACTCACTTCATGTGTCTCTCTAAGGAAGTTCTGGTTTGGTTTCAACATGTGCTACGTGGCTTTTGTATCTTCCCTGCCTGTATCCCTTGTTCCCAAAGGATACTGGGCTTCAGTAACACATCACATTATCAGCAAAGTGACTTTGAGGGGCCTTTAGAGGCACAGGATGGCTTAAAGCAGACAGAAAACCTGTTAAAATGTAGAGAGGTCCTTCCTATTGCTTGGGATTTCTCCATAGGACAGGTCTGGTTTTGATTTTTACATTGCACATCAGCCCTTCTACTGTTGTATTTACATGACCATGGTGAGGAGGCCTTTATCAAAGGCCCTTCTTGGCTGTTTGTGGCTGAAATGTGATGCTGATAGGCCTTCCCTCTCTCTGGGGCCCTCCTGAGGAGCTTGACTCTGTCCTGACACATCAGCTTACTGCACCACGACCCGGAGCATCTCCTCGATCTCACAAAACCAACCCCCCAGCAGCCTCACTGCTCCAGTTCTGGCCAGCCAGGACCCAGCAATTTGTTTTTAGAGAAGGCTTTTGCTACTTGTGAGTGCTGCTAAGTCAGGCGAATGGGCCTTGTCTTG